TAGCTTGCTGTGAAAACGTTGTCAATGGTTGATATTAAAAATGGCTCAATTGCAAAAATAAATGGAATATTTCGGGGGAGGGTGAGGGTAATGGAATTTCTGAGTCAGTTGAGTTTTGTACTTTTGCATGTAAATTTATGGGCACCGGATGCCAATCTCACAAAAGAGACAAAGTTTAAGTGTATGTATAGGATAATTATTTCAATGGCTTGCTGGACTACGCGACAACCCGAGTAGTTTTTTTTAAACTGGATGGACCTTGGTCGATCTACCCCCCTGCATGTACAATATAAAAGGACTGGATGCCTTTTTGGAATTTTTAATTATTTCTATAGCAGAAAATAACTGGATTTTCATGTTGATTTTATTTTTCTTTTTAAAATTATTTATATAAAACAAATATTAAAATTACATCATAAAAGTTTTAATTTTATTTAACGAGGGAAAAGAGCCCTTTTGTTCCTTGGGCCTACATGCCTTGCTTAAACTAGATTAATGGTAGTATGTTAATTGAAGATATGGATGTTGCTTATTTTCAAGCCCTCAATGATGCATTGGGTGGATTGTTAAATTATTAATGAATATGATTTTCTTATAAGCTAAGATATACTTCCCAAAGTAAACTACTTACATCCGGAGCATTTTATAATGTAAATATCTACTATCGTTTACCTTACACGTGCATCTTGCATATTATCACAGGTTTTATGTGTGTATTTGTGTGTATGTAAGTGTTTGTATGGCTCAACAGATTTTCAAATATTAAGACTTCCCTTTGCTGATTGAGCTGTTTGGCACAATGTTAGATCTTTGCTGACAATGCAATAATAATCGAGTTTTTTAATGTACATTTAATTAAAAAAATATTTAATTCAATAATTCAAGGCAGACAACAAAATTACGAAAAATTACTAGCGATTGCTTGACCAAAAAGGTGCGACAATAACATTGCTTGATCAGAGGGCTGTGGTGAATTATTTTCGATTGACTTTTGGTTGCTTTTCTGCCCTAAAATATTTGTTTTCATGATAAACGTTTTTATTATACTTAAAAACGCAAAAAAAAAACACAACTGAAAAGACGCACTAAACAGTTTAGTTAATTCAGTTTGGTGCAACCTTAGTAAAACTATTTTCTACATTTCTCAAAGATTAAATGCATTATTTTCAGTGAAGTTTGGTAATTTCCTTTTTGTACTTTGATCATGTTATAGACCTACTCTATATCTCCACTCCGGTTCGTTTTTCGTTTTGTAGCTTACAATAAAAAATACAGTTACCTCTTTAGCACTGTTTAAAAATAATTAAACGAAACATTTTTTTCATTTCTAAATTTATTACACTATAAAAATATAAGTTAATGATGAGCTTAAACATGTAGGAACATTGACCATATTAATTAAAATATCTTATACAGAACCATCTCACTTTTATAGATATGGATATCTATGTAGCGAAATATTACCATAGGATATGTATTTTACATTGTACTTACTAGAAAAATTTAAAAGGGCTTTATTAGTAAACATTAGAAGGTAATTATTGAAATCGCTAACAATGAAGGCTAAGACGCATACATCAAATTTTAAGACTAAATATGATTAGATTATAATGTAAGTATTAAAATTAAAAAGCACGAACACAATCATCACACTTACGAAAATCCTAGTTTAATTTTTAATCAAATGTGAATATTTTCAATGAAATTATTCTTTTTTAATAATAAAACAAGTTTTTTTTTGAAAAAACAATTATCAATTGAGATTCCAGAAATTTCAAAACGCAATGATTTCGTCGATGACTTGTTGTACAAATTGTTTTGAATTTATAAGTGCGATATATTTGTGAGGGAAAACATGAAAATTACAAACTGGGAACTTTGTAAAGACGTATATTATTGAATAATATGTACTCCAAAGTTTATGTATACAGCTGCACGTGAAGAGCGAGTTCGTTAGATGTCATCTCCCACTCCCACCTATTGGGAAAGATAAAACGTTTAATGATAGGGCATACGACTTGTTTGGGTATCGAGTTTCTCGAGTTTGGATAATCTAGAAAGAGTTCGTAGGGCTTCCCTGAGTCAATCCACTTCTGATGGGCACCTGACTCTTGTTAGGGAAAGTGACGGCGGTTTGGCATAGAGAGCTGACCACACTATACCTTCGTGCAACAATGTCAATGAAACAGGTAAACCCTACTTCACCTGACATATGAACCATCAGGTTCGAGTTGGAACGTTGCCAGTTAACAAAGGCTATGTGTTTACTCAGATTTGATACATTATGTTTTTGTTTGTTTTCTTTTTTGCCTTTAATGGCATTAGGTTTAGTTATGCATGTTTCATACTGAAATAATATGTTCTTATGTAGATAAAAAGCAGTATTCATTTCAGAAACTTTGAATCAAACTGTTGTAATAGCCTGTATCATTTTTTGTTGTGCGATGTCAAAAGCCATCTTTGTTTGCCTATTTTTGTAGCTACACTTTAAGGCTAGTTACAAATATTAAGCGTTATTTTTTTTTTTTCAATGCTACACAATTAACTCAGTTTTTAGCCTTAGATACATTTCATCGACGTTTACATCATTGTTTACATTTAGGATATTCTATTTTTAATGCATCGTCGTCAGAGTTACAACACGACTTAAAGCGCGTTCTAGACAGATGAACAGAAAGCCGAAAGAATAGACTTATATGAAACTAAAACATAGTTGCGTGACTTTGGTTTCTTTTTTCTAGCTGCGCGTAGCCTAAGCTAAGTCAGTGGTGTTTAACCTGATTGGAGGTAAGGTAATCCACCAGTCACCGAACCCTTCTTAATAGTGTTATCGCCCGCACTGACAAAATCCAAACCATACATATATAATTATATTCATGGACAAGACGACGCAAGCCGACTATCTAACCCTCCTTCCTCCCCCGCAACAGTCTGGTGAGCTGTGGTTCACAAATTATGAATTACTGAAAAATAGAAAATAAATCAACGGGTCTGCTCGTCGTAAATCATATGAGTGGGGTGTGTGTCTGATCTCCGTCGAACCTTTCAGAATGACTCACTAAACCAATGGGATTCGATGGTATCCAGGTAAGACAACTGAGCTAGATACATTTTAGTGCTTTATATTTATTTGGAATAATGGCGAGACTCAAAGTTTTTAATGAGCGCTTTTGATTTTTCATGTAAATATTCACTTACATTCTCATGTGTAGAAAATACTATAAAAATAAGCGAAGATTTTCAAACGCTTAAGTTACTCGTATTAGTAATTTTTTATGCAAAGAAGTACATGTAAACTTTTTCAAAATTTTTATCAATACAAATTCCGTGTAATCAGCAGATGTCAAATTGTCTTATGCAGATTGACCATTAAAACAAATAGTATTTCTGACCCCTGGCCTATGCGAAACAAACAATCAACGGTTTCAAGATAGCCGCTAGAGTATATGGGCGCTAAATTGCAGTTCCAAAACTTTTAGATATTAAACACTGATCACAACGGATTTTTTTCAAAAAATTACAAGCTTAAGGAAGATTATATGAAATGTATAATAATGCATAAAAGACACAAATACACTTATACACACACACACTTATACACAAACGAACACACTTTAGGTAATATATATAAGCTATAAATTATTCTTACATTGCGTTTATTCCTTTAAGCTTCGTTCTTTTGTAATTTTCTCCGAGCATTTCTGGAAATAAAAGCATATGCTTACATTATTCTTTATTATTTCATAAAATAATTTTAAAAGTTTTGTTATAAAAAGCTTTTAAAGGCAATGAAAATAATAAAGGCAATCAAAATAGCTTTCTTTAATAAAAGTTTTGGTCGCTTTGATCTCTTTCACATTTAACCGACAAAAGCTGTTGTCAAGTAAATCTTGTTTTATTTTCTCATTTTTAGAACATTTAAAAAGGTATACATGTTTTTAAATTAGCTTTCTTCTGCAATATTTATTCATTTGATCTAAATGCTATTGACAAGACATGAGCTACAATAAAATATCTGCTTTAAAATACGTCCAGTTGCTTGTGATATAAAACAAATAGTTTTTGGTCAACGCTAATACAAGCAATCGGCCAATTTAGAAAAATAGTTCCCCGTAGTAAACAGGCATCCCAGATTATTTTCTTTGAGATTTTTAAAATTAAATTTAGAGATTTTCTAAAATTAAAAGTATATGGAGTAACCTAATAACTAATTACAGTAATATCTCCCTCTCTCTCTCTCTCTCTCTCTCTCTCTCTCTCTCTCTCTCTCTCTATATATATATATATATATATATATATATACATAAATATATATATATATATATATATATATATATATATATATATATATATATATATATATATATATATATATATATATATATACATATATATATTTATGTATATATATATATATATATATATATATATATATATATATATATATATATATATATATATATATATATACATATATATATATTTATGTATATATAAATATATATATATATATATATACATATATATATATTTATGTATATATAAATATATATATATATATATATATATATATATATATATATATATATATATATACATACATATATATACATATATATATATATATATAAATATATATATATATATATATATATATATATATATATATATATATATATATATATATATATATATATATATATATAAATATACATATATATATATATATATATGTATATATATATATATATATATATATATATATATATATATATATATATATATGTAATTCCTTTGTCATGAAAAAGAACGTATATGGTAAGTTTGATCAAAACTGCGATATTAACAATTTGTTAAAAATGAGTTATAGTATTTGCAACAATCGGAGGATGCGAATTAAGTAAAATAAGATTAATCTATACTGATTAATTATATATTTACTCTGAACGGTGAAAATACAGCAGACACAACACAACAATGACTGCAGTAATTAAAAACACTATCGTCAATATATGTTCTAGGCTTAAGGCGAACGTTTTTGGTGTGGAAATATAGTTCTCTTGAGAAGATGGAAGTTGTTTAAAAAACTCGACTTGTGTTAAGGCTAAAAAGGAAAATATTTAAGAGTATCAATACAATTATAAACAAAACATATATATATATATATATATATATATATATATATATATATATATATATATATATATAATTCTATTGTCGTAATAAAATTAATACCATATATATTTTTTGCAGAAAATACTCTAACTTTAATCCTATTGTCGTATTAAAATTAATACCATATATATTTTTGCAGAAAATACTCTAACAAGTACTACGTTTTTGTAATTTTGCACTTACACTCCATGCAGAAATCTCCTGTTCTCTTCTGTACACATTCTTTGCAAACACCGTTAAACTGACAGTCCTGGTCAGCACAGGTTATGCTACAAATCTCTTCACAATCAGCACCATATCTCCTTTTTGTACAATCTGAAAATAATTGAATTGTGTTAGCCGTAATACGCTTTTTTTATGTTACTCCACTGTTCAAGTTTTTTGGTTTTTAAACTAAAATCATTCAGAAAAAAATCGGGAGTGATCTACCCTAATTTGTTATCTTATAAATGTGGCGTTAGAGAGGGATAGCTCTTCAGATGTGTGATAATACAGCCTTTTTTTCAAGAAAACACATAGAGGTGATCATTTATAAGATTTTTCTTTAATATAGTTTGATAAAAATATTCAAATTATGCTTGAGACATTGAAAATTGAACGTCATACACTGTTTTAAGACATTCTCCGCTTTCTTGTACCAACTATCGTTTGAATAGAATCGAGTGGAAAAAAATATAATCCACCAAACACCGAAATTAAAATAACATTATCAAACTCTAATTACTTCTTTGAGTTGAGAATTATGAAATAGAATAAAGTACTGCTTCGTTTACATGTAATCACGAAACAGTCCTTAAAAATAACCCGGGAATGATATTCCCTAAAATTTCTCGTACATTCTTATCTAACACTCAGGGGGGATGGCAACGCGTGATATAGACATACTTTTTAATCAATTTTTAATAACTTTAACTTTTAAAAATAGAATCTCGTAGAAAAAAAGAATTGCGCACCAAGTAAACTCCAAACATTATGTATATAATAGTGCGCAATATTATTAGTACTTTATAAATTCACATGCGTTTTTTTTTTGAGGAATCGTAAATAGCGTAAATCACTACTTCCGGTCAACGGAAGTTACTCAAAATTGGTAGAAGGCAGAGAATTAGATTGTTGACTTATAAGTGAAATTTAATTTATCTATCTGAAATAGTTCTCGAGTTATAGGCTTTTGAAAAATTGAGAGTAGAAAAAGTTCCACTTCCGTTCATCGGAAATCGCTGAAAATTTGATACGGATCCAAAAATTTGATATAATACTTATACATGAAGTTTCATCAACCTAGTTGTTACGGTACTCAAGTTAACGTGTTTACAGACATATACACACCCACCCACCCACACACACACACACACACACACATACGGACAATATTGCAAAACTATGTTTCTCCGACTGAGGAAGATGTGAAACGTCGAAATTTGCAAAAATCTTGTTTTTTTTGGGTTTTTTTTTCCACGATTATAACACTTTCTCTATACTTTTTATAGGAGAACGTAAAAAAATGATTTTGCTTTGGCATTTAAGGAACCAGAAATAGAGTACGTAGCCACAACCTGATATTAGTGATCACTCAATATGTCAGAGTAATTGGAGAACAATATCTTATTCTTCAAAAAGTCAGTATACCTATCTGAAAAAAATACTCAAACGGTTAAACCCCACATAAAAATGGAAGCACCATCCCGGTTGCCACATATTATTCAAAAGTTAAAAGAAACCATATCATACAATTTATTACTAATAATTGAAATTTCGTCCACTTAATCTTAAGATTACTTTAAGTTATTCGCTTTTGAGAAACTGGAATTACAGCAAGTACGACCTTCATTTACCAGAAATCTCAAAAACTTAAAAGAAAATTACAAATTAGATATAATGCTTAATGGTATATGCAAAACAAAAAAAAAAATCACAAAAATCCTGATTTTTCGTCATAATTTTTTTCTAGCACTTTTGGATACTTTGTCTATTTTTGTATTATAGTAATAATTTTAATTTAAATGAAAGAAAAAAAAATGTATTGTGTTAAAAAATCAATTTTTTATGAACCCATTAATTTAAAAATAATGATCTTTTTTTTCTAACCTTACAACCTCTCTACGAAAGTTTTAAGATCCATCAGGAAATTGTATTTGGATTTATCATGCATTTGATAATATATTTTTGTATTGTCGTTCTTCTCGGAAATAGCTAAATCTTACAGCCGCATTTACAAATTACACAGAAATGGTATTTTCATGACATACGTTTCGTTATTTTCTGCTTTTTTTCTCAGTTCGCTATTTTTTTCTAATCACTAAACAACATTATTTTTTTTTTTTGAAACAACTCCCACTAAATTTTAAGTAATTGTTCTTCATGCAAAAATAAAACTTCTTTAACGATGGCATTGTGATGGCTTTCATAGAAAACATTAACTATAAATAATATGCACATTTTCATACTTTTGTATACTTAAAAGTGTGTGTTTTTTCGGACTTTGTGGAGTTTTGACCAGTAGTTATATTAAATAATAGTCTTAACAAAATTGTGAATATAAACTGAAATATAAGCCGTGTAAATTTGATTGCTATAGGTGCATAAATAAAAAAATTCTTAGCTTAAGTTTTAAAATGCCAAAAAAAAATAAAAAATTGCTGAGGTTTTTTTAAGTTTCCATGAAAACCGAAATTATTTTCAACCCTTATTTTGCTGTATAATATGTGATGTCATGTGTTGCAAATGGTAAAAATATTCAAAAAGCTTTAGATCTTAACTTGTAAAAAAAATAGAATAAAATGAGCATATCCCCTTAAAAAAAAGGAATTCGGTCAACTTTAATCAACCGGTACTCAAGTTTCTGTGTTTACTTGCTTCCTCTGTCTGTTTTTGTGCGTTCGTCTGGCGTCTGCCTTCAAAGCATGAAAGTGAAATTTCAACACATTTAAACTGACCAATTTCTCTGACACTTGGCACGGGGATTAAGAATAGATGCCAATGCAATTGGATATCAAACTTGAGTTAACTGAATGCATAATCAGTCTTTAAAGAATTATTTAGTATTTCCTATAAATTAGTATTTACGGAGTTATTAAATGCACTATTTGTGTTCATTTAATGTGAAATTGTCTTTAATTATGCGCATTTTATATATTTTAATTACAAAAAATCATACCAATATTTTAATAGCATGCTTAAACGTAATGCAGATGTAATAAATAATGTTGTTTAATTACAAAAAAAAAGAAATAAACTACAATTTAAAGAGCTAAAACTAAAATCATTGCTCGCTTCTTAAATTCTAGTAAAGGGAGCCAATACATCATATACCGACCCAAACTTTTCTTTTTTAACACATTAATTGGGCAGACATAATATTTCAAATTTGACGTCAAACTGCACAGTCATTTAATCTTGACCACCGTGCTAAGTTTTGAACGAATTGGTACGTAAGAAGTAGTCAAAATTTCAATCGATAGTTTCGATCACTGAAAGACGAAGACAAAAGCACGAGGAAAACAAGTTAAATGAAAAATCGTAATTAAGAAATGAAATGATATCAAACAGAAAATATAATTTGTAACATATTTACCACCAAGTGCTTCAAATTCTAACAATGCTAGCGTCCCGCTTGAGCTTAGAACAATTTTTACTATTTCACCACTATTTACAATATTGATTGCATAACGATGAGAGAAATAGTCAAAGATTTTCGTAAATGTTATCTGGTCGCCAGAGTTGAACAACTCAATTTTAAAATTGATCGTATCGGGGGTAAATGTTTCTGAAAAGTTTGAAAAAATATTTTTTGAAAATGAAACATAGTTACTAAAACTTTCTTTAAATTGTGATTTACTTATTTCTTTAATTTAACTTGTGTGATCTAAATAAAACAATAACGTTCACCAAAACAAATATCAAAGATAGAAAACACTTTTTTTTGTGAAGAACGGGGCTAATAAAGATGTAAAGTGTAATGATAGAAGATCATTTGACAGCTCGTAATTGAACATATATTTAAAGCAACATTGCTACGCTATGTGTATGTAACGCTTGCAAAAAATTAGCTTTAATACACAATACTTCTCTAAACGCATTTCGATTTTAAAAACTATGATTTTTATCTTAATTATCGTTCTATTACTTTTAAATGGGACAGCCACCGCTCCTCATTGCAGATCTATTTGTCAGTACATTTGTAAGTTTTTATTTTAAAAAGTTTTTAAACTAGTTAAACTCGCGTATACAATTTTTAGACTTTGTATAAATTTTTTTAAAGTAAGTGCAGGTAGCTCCTTGACGAATTCAAGCGTATTTATATAAAATCCATTGCATATGTTACCGTATTAATTGAGTTGTTATGTGATTATAAACGTAACCTTATGTATATTTTTACATTATTGTTTAAAATAGTTTCCGTTCAATAAATCCCAACCAACTTAATGCACGAAACTTAAAACTTGACACTTGTCATCCGTAATTACTTAATTATCATCACATAATCATAATAAAGCAATCGTGATCTACCATAAACTTTCTCGTATAATCTTATGTAACAGTTAGAAGAATGAAACTTTCAGTGCAATCGTGCTTTATTGTTTCTTAGTTCTTAATATTTAAAACTAAAATATAAGTTCGTAGAAAAGAAAAATTGCAAACCATATTGACGAAAAATATTTGAATATAATAGAGCAGATAATTGGTGCGGTATATGGAAATATTTATTAATTAAAAATATAACTTATAATTAAGTCACATTCATGTCAAAGTGTAGTGTCACCGAGTCTTCACCTACGTGACAAATTTAAAAGAAATTGATCCGTTGCAAGTAAAAAATTTTGAGATATTTTTGGAAATTAATCGAAATTTAACTTAAACAATGTGATATTGGATGCATCAAACTTATTCCACTTAAGTCAAAAGATACTTAAGTTATCCTTAATTTAGAAACCGGAAATGGAGTAAACTACTTCTTCCTCTTTTTGGAAAGCCACTAAAAAAAGTAATTGAAAGTATACGATTTTATAGTTATCTAAAACTTGTCGTCTACAGCACTTAAACAGTTTTCAAGGTATTTTCCTCCCGCGGAAATAAAGTCAAGTACCGTCTATTTATTGGAAAAGCTTAAACAATTTACAAACACCTGAGTATACAATGTAATACATATGTAAAATGTTGTTCGCCTAACTTTGATTGTACTCAAGTTATAAGGTTTTTAGAAAGCAGAAGTAGTTTGAATACCACGTTACGTTTATCAGAAATCTTAAGTGGAAAAATGTCCTATTTATATAATAATTAGCTATAAAATTTCGTCAACGGAACGCAAATGGTAGTCAAGTTATAATTTTTGCATACACACAGACAGATAGACAGACGTTTTTGTATAAAAAACAAACACGTTTTTCCTTCTCCGGAAAGTTATGAGACGTTGTAATTAGTCTAAATGTCCCTTTAAACTTTCCACACAATTACAATACCTAATTTTTATTGAGTATACGATAACGGAGGGAGGTGTAAAACCGCGAAAACTGTCAAAATATTTAGGTCTATTATTCAGCACGATTTCGATATTTATATATTCTCATTATACGATAAAGTAAAATTTAAAGTCAGCTGAAAAATGTTAATGATTTTTCCCATATAAACAATAAAAAAATGGTGACAATTAAAATAAATATCAAAATACATTAAACAGCCACTATCAGGGTTGGTTGCACTCAGGGACAGTCACAGGTCCTAACCGAGATTCGCAATGCCTGTACCATTCGACCACGCGTTCCAAATATAATTACATTAATAATTTTAAAATCACTCTATTAGCTTCAACACCTATTACATTAAAGCAAGTTAGTTTGCGCTATTCTATTTAATTTTCGTCAACAATATGACAAGCAAATTTTTTTATATGACACGAGGTAACTGCTGTTACGTAAGCTAATAATAGGATATGCATTAGACGATTTTATTCCTTATTTTGCTTTACAATGTTGGTAATCATCTGGCTAATTCAGCGAATATCTGTTTGTATTTGGTCTGTGGCCTAACAATGGCTGGGCTACAGAATCCAAGCTGAAAATCCTTAGTTAAAACAGCAAAGAATGTTTACATCGTTTGATGATGGTAAAGAGAGAAGTAAAAAAAAAAGGTACTGCAGCTATTTTGACCCCTTTTCCCATTAAATTATGCTTTATATTGCTATATACAGAAATAAAAAGGTGATATTAGCGTATTTTAAGTAAGTGTCTGAGGATTAAGTGCCTAGTGATTAAGGGAATTGGGAATTAAGTGTCGGGGATTAAGTGCCCAAACACCGTTTTAAATAGTCTATAAAACTAGCTTATTTTCGCTAATTTATTTTTATTTAATTTACATTTATTTTCTTACCACACATATGTATTACAATTTTTTTAACAATTCTTGGCCTCTGAAATGTGGATTCCCATTTTGCGTTTGGTTCCAAAGTAAAACAGCTACCGTCTTCTGTATTTCCATTTAGCGCGTGTCTGTAATATAGGCTCGACATATGTTTTACTATCTGACCATTCGAGAAAATATCAATACTTGATTCTTTTAACACATTTCGCCCTGCATAAAAATTGAAATATATAATAACGTGTATTTAAGTCTTTGCATTTAATTATACTATTTGTCCATATACATTAATAAAACTAAACAACTTTCACCTTTTTGTATATTGAATAGTATGTTATGGTTATAAAACATGTATACCTACCCCCATTTACTCTAATACGACAAATAGGAACAAAAAAGCCAAAAACAATTTTAATTTCCAAAATCAATTCTCTGAATTCGCATTCAATTTCAAGTGTTGAATTTCTTATCCAAAATGTTTTGAAATGTAAGCATTGTAGAAGACCTACATTACTTTTCTGCGTAGTGTAGAAAATGGTAACATTGAGCTCTGTAACTAAAAAGGAAAGAAAGAAAAATATTTAGTAAGTTAAACTTATCACATTGTAGGTTTGAATGCTAAAGGCTTCATAGCTAATAGGTTATGCTTTTGTGTATTTATGTACATTGCACAGAAATAGAACTCAGGTTTGTAACAAATACAATCGCCCTAGGTAATCAAGTTATTATACGAACCTTTCATAGAAATATATTAATAATGATTTGGTTTGATCTGCATCTGTATACAGGCAATATGAAATTAGCTAGGAATATATTTTGTAGAAAATTAAAGTCCTCTTATTGAACCTGTCGGTCCTGGATATACGTGAATTGGTGTTCACTTGTTTCTGTCATTTCGGCAAATGAAACGGTAGTGCGGTCATTACAAAGACCAGCCGTTTGTTTCTCAAACATAAGTTATGTACCCATCAGAGCTGATTGGACTCAGGAACCTTATATTGCCTTTAACCCGGATTCAAAATGGAGACTTTCGGTTTAAAAGCCAGCACTAAACCGCTAAATATATTTTGAATTATGTCAAAATTGTATGCCAATAATGAAAGAATTACGTTCAATGTTGCTCGCGGCCATGATGATTCTCATCTTGTTCCATAAATATATACCACCGTATTTAAATTTTCGACTACAATTAAAACTGCAGCCTTTAAAAAACAAATCAGTATAATTCGAGTAAAAACTTACCTCTGTATAGCAGTTCAATTCCCAATGAAATAAAATTTTGTTCAGTTTTAAACACAACGTGGATCGTATTGTTCGTAGAACAATTATTGTCGCGTGGCAAAATTGGATGCGTCATTAGAGCTTCAGATATCAAATCTCCTGTTTATATATAGATGGAGATTACGTAGTTTTTTAACTTAATTTAAGCAGTTTTTATTATTCACAAAAGAACAACTAATTATCCACAAGTAAAAATTAAACAGAAAAGCACAAACATAAGGGCAATAATAAACAAATAGTACCACTGTTGAAACATAAGTACAAAAGGTATACAGAAAATAGCACGAGTGTGTTTAATTGCATAACGTTATTTTCCTTTGCCATCTAGTCGATAAACCTAATGTTTAACAATTAATTTATAGCTAATTATACTACAATAATTCAGATATATAATTAATATAAATGTATATTGATAAACTGGGTATTTAAAAGAGTGATTTGTTATTTTGAAATGGTCAAGGCAGTGTGTAACCGGAAACTTACTGTACAGGCAATCCGGACCATAAAGACCTTCTAGACATCCGTTTTCCTCACGAGCCTCTGGATGACAAAATAATAAAAAATACGAAGTTATATTTTTTAATGTGTATATGTTATCTACATGAACAAGGAATACTTTCATATAGGCCTATATATATATATATATATATATATATATATATATATATTTATATATATATTTATATATATATACATATATATATATACATATATATATATATATATATATATATATATATATATATATATATATATATATATATATATATATATATAGAACAATCAAGCCCACAGCATACATGTCTAAAAATAATGAGAATACTGCCGGGAAGGATTGTGCGAAAATATAAATTGTCAACTTTGGAGGGGTTGCTCTCGAGCATATGCGGTTTTGGCGCCCGGGCTCCCCCGAGCAATATGGCGCCTACTTTTATTTTAAAGACAGATGATATGGTGGCACAGGATGGTGAATGAAGGGTTTGTACCTAACTTTTATGGAGATTGGCTAAATATCTGAAAACTTACTTCTGCAATATCCATGTGATGTCCACTTGTCTTTTGAATCACACATAATCATTGTACTTCCGACACGTTTAAATCCCGTATGACATACTAATATATAAGTATTTATTTGGTTGTATTCGAAATATTGCCAATAGCCGTGCTGTATCGGTGGTGGCTCTTCGCATTTTGAAGCTAAGCAATGAAATACTTACATAAGAAAAAAAATGTTATATGAAATATAATGTTATATGATATATGTATTTATATATATAATATAAATTTATTCGAAATATATATATATATATATATATATATATATATATATATATATATATATATATATATATATATATAAAGCAAAGTGGTCAAGTGCCCAATAAGGCACTTCCCGACGCCACAGGCGTGTCAAATTTGGCACGATGTCGACATGGGGCGATAGAACACGAGGACCGGTGCATGTTGGCGAAAAGTCCACGGAGAGGGGTTCGAAACTGAGCTCGACTGACTGGCACCTTATTTGGGCTATATTACGTAAAAACGTTTGCCGAACGACCCCCGTTAATATTTTGTGAGGTGGTAGGAGATCTTCTAGGGGTGTCAGAAAAAACTCGCCATGTCTGGGAAAAATCTGAAAAGGGGTCAAAACTGACCAGTCGTATTTCTCTATATTATATATGTATTTTATGGGAAAAACAGAGGGTCATTTCAACAAAGAGTTAAGGGCAATTACCGTTTGTACATTTAGCTAATTTTTGGCATGCACTTAGGTAAATGGATTAGCCTTTTAGGAAATTTGTCGGTTTTACTCAAAACCCTCAATGAGGGCTAAAACATGAACGCGAGTAAAATTCTCCTTATTTGAGCTATATAACAAAAGCAAATCATGCCGAACGACCCCCCCCCCCCCTTGATAGTTTGTGAGGTGGTAGGAGAACACCTAGGGGTGTCAGAAAAAACTCACCATGTCTGGGAAAAATCTGGAAACGGGTCAAAACTGACCAGTTGTATTTCCCTATAATCTTTGTGTTTTATGGGGAAAACAGAGGGTCATTTATATATATATATATATATATATATATATATATATATATATATATATATATATATATATATATATATATATATATATATATATATATATGTATATATATATATATATATGTATATATATATATATATATATATATATATATATATATATATATATATATATATATATATATATATATATATATATACCTTCATACATATGCAGTTAACGTAACGTAACTTGAACTTGAACTTAATTAGCCAATGCAGAAATGACGCTCACGTGTGTAACAATCCTCGCCTTTGTAACCTGATTTACACCCTTGTCTACATGCTCCGGTTGCTGGCATGCACCAATCTTCACCTTGTCGACAGTTGCATTTTCTACTGCAATCTAAACCGAAATGTAGCGCACTGCAGATGTTGTCTAAGAAAAAAAATGTATGCACGCATGGATATAGACCCACATATTTCTATAAATTATATATATATATATATATATATATATATATATATATATATATATATATATATATATATATATATATATATTTATTTATTTATTTATTTATATATATATATATGTACATATATATATATATATATATATATATATATATATATATATATATATATATATATATATATATATAAATATATAGCCGTCCTGGTCGGGCCATGCACTGGCCTCTGTGAAAAACATATCTTTAAAGGATCATGACTTGTGTGATTATTAAGCAGCATATACTCGGTAATGAACTGGAATACGAAATATATCGCTTTTGGAATTAACACTAATTAGTAAACAACACGTTCAGTGGGTAAAGTAAATAAAAGGCTGTAAAAAAATATCAGTGTTTTACCTACCACATTGCAATTTATCTATCCACGCTAATGATATAATTAGTATAAAAAATGTGATTTATCAAAGGAAGTAATTGGAACAAAGTGAAGTAATTTGTAAAATTTTCCAGTTTTTTTATGATGATACATTTTCTTTGACTTTGGTTATTCCACGTGAAGTTAATTAAAATGAAATGTTGGTTTTTTGTCAATTACGACCAAACCCTAATCGAAGGAACCCTACGATGGGTCCCACCTACCATTAATAATGATAGACTCATCAAGGTCTTTAGAACATTCAGTAAAAAGGAACCCAAAATAAAAACCTTCCCTTTAACAAACAACCGAAGGATAACCATATACTCAGAAAAAAAAGCATCAGACATTCCACACTACATTAAATTAAATTACAAAGAGCAAGCAATAGACAACCTAATAGCCATTCCAGAAAGAATACAAGCCTGCCAACACTGGTCATCTATCCAACACTTGGAAAATTAAAACAGCAGTCAACACCTCAACCCGCACCTCACTCCCGACAGCACAACTAAAAACGAAAGCAACAAAAGATAATGCAAGCGCTCCATTGCTTGACACCGCAAGCTTCAAACTTAGCAATGGAACAGCAACGACAGCTAACACCAGCACACATCAAATCACAACGCCTCAAATCCCAATAACACATAACCACAGACTGCTATGGAAACAGAAATAAAAGCCAAAAGGAAGAACGAAGAGAGTCAAGCCACACTGCAAAAAAGAAAAAAATAACGAAATAGGCCAAAACAAAACATTATTAGAACAACAGCAATAACTCCAATAAGCACTAAACAAACCCAGCAACAACAAGAAACTAACAACACATCAATTCAAGTCTCCAAACCTTTAACACGTGGAAAATAATGAGTTTCAGTACTGTCAGCGAGTGTAAAACGCATACAAAAGCATTCCATCTTGATATAAATAATTACCAGCACTTTAACTTCCAGAGCCAATACTGCCTAACAAGTCTATACACCAAACAAACGATATAGAACAGAACTTCAAGGACTAGCATCCTGACAACGATCTCTGTCATAATGAAATTATATACATCCTAAACTCAGACAAATCAATACCTTACTTATACCGAGACGACAGAACATAAAAAATAAACTTCTACAAGACAATTACATAATTTAATTTCAGAAATTTTAATTTTCACCTGATAGCATTTTTTTGGCCTATTCTGTTAAAGCTTCATTTAACGAAACAAGAAGACTGAAATGTTATATTCAATGCTATGAATACTTTAATTTAAATGGAAAAATTGAAATGATTTTCTTTGAATTAAGATAATGGACATATTTCCCATTAACTTATAAAAATTAAAATAAAAAATATTAAAAAATAACACCAATCACCGATTAAAGAAAAAATATTTACTAAAGATTTCCATCGAGGGTAGCAAAAAATAAAAAGATACAGATCCCTTTAGGCCAAGAGCCCGGGAGAGGAGCAACCCGGACTAGGGTTTGGGTGGCTTAATGTAATCTTGGGCCGCCAAATCGACAAACATCTCTACCAATCAATTGGAAGAAGAAGCACCAGACCTTTTCGACACTCAGTCAATCTCAAAAGTTGTGATGCAAGTCACCATTTAAATCCAATGGTCAACAAAACTTTCCTGGTCACATACTACGCAGACAAATCAGCCCACACCAGATTCTGCTGCTGAAGTAAGGGCGAGCAGATACATGGTATTTCTCGTCCGACCAGTTCAATGTAACAGATCGGGATAACACCACAACACATTATGGACCTTACACTCTGGAATTCTCAATACACAAGAAAGACAAAGTCAGCGCCACCCTCAGATGGGTCCCACCTACACTCAATTACAACATACTCCTCAAAGCACTTAGAACTATTAGCGAAACAGACACCTCAAGCTTCTAGATCAAATTATGAATACACACCCCCTCCCCTATCTTCTATCTTCTATGTTATATCAAATATCAATCTTTAGACGTTTTGTATTATCTTCACAACATACATGCACCCTTATTTACCCTCCCCCCCCTCTCAAGCGCATACAAACTTCAAAAAGCATTAGAAAAATTAATGTGCTAAAATAAGGATGTCTTAAATTTTAAGCTTTTCTAAAATTAAGATGTATAACATTAAGAATAATGTAGGGCCCTATAATAATAAAAAATAATCACGAAATGATAATATGTAAATGATGGTTGATATTTTCTGTATTTATCTTCATGTAAACCTCATACCGCTTGAACCCCTTGCTCAAGTGGGGAGGCGAGGAGAGAGGAACAATATTAAACAATAAGGAAAAACTAAAAGACACAGAACTCGTTTTAAAAAACAATAATACATACAGAGGCACATATATAAACCACTAGGTTTATAAACCACAGAGGCACGAAATCCGTTTGAGCTTTATATATATATATATATATATATATATATATATATATATATATATATATATATATATATATATATATATATATATACAAACCCCTAGGTTTTGAACGAACGCAAATTAAGAACCAACATTCACATTTTACTTTCTCGTATATACGAAGTATAGTGGAAGTCTTGAAATCGTGCAAAAATTTTTTTTGCAAATCTCGACGTTTTACACCTAACTGATACGGAAAAAAACATAATTTTGCAATCTTGTCCGTAGGCTATGTCTGTATGTGTGTGTGTCTGTGTTTCTGTAAACACAATAACTTGAGTACCGTTACAGCTAGGTTGATGATATAAATATTTTATCAAAATCGTAGATCCGTGTCAACTTTTGAGCGATTTCCGATAACCGGAAGTTGCACTTTTTTTACTTTAAATTTTTCAAAAGCCTATAACTTTAGTACTATTTCAGATAGATAAATGTTATTTCCTATGTAAGTAAAAGATCTAGTTCTCTGCCTTCTATCAAATTTTGAATAATTTCCAAAGACCGGAAATACTAATTTACGCAATTTACGATTTCTCAAAAACTAATGTAAATTTGTAAAGTACTAATAATATTCCGCACTATTATGCACATTTTATTTGACGTTCACTAATGTGCAATTCTTTTTTCTACAAGATTTTATTCTATTTTACAAAATTTTAAGTGGATTAAAATGGATTAAATTTCATGTCTTTATCCCGTGTTCACATCCCCTGTTTTTTATATAAGAATATTCGAGAAAG